GATTAAAGGCGTGCGCCATCACCGCCCGGCTAAAAATGTATATATGCCTGGAATGAAATTGCCAATCCCCAGCAAGAATGCAAAAAACCAGGCATGGTGGCGATGCACTCGTGACCCCAGTGTGGGTGATGGGATCCCTGAGTTTCACTGGCTAGACAGCCTGAAATGGTGAGCTCGAGGCTCAGTGATGGTGCCAGCTTTCCAAATCAGAGCTTGATATTGTGTTGGGTGTTTCCACTGTCCGGGTCCAGAGATGCTCTTCCTTCGCCTGCTCAGGGAAAGAGCAGGGGTCTTTTGTTCTCTCCCACCTGACAATTTCCAACCTTCCTGGATCCCAGGAACCAACCTGCTGTGGAAGGAAGGTAGGGAAACCACACTGGCAGTAGAAGCCAGCATCGTGGTGGTACCGGCCCTAAGCTAAGATACCTGAGATCCCTGTGCATTCATTGGTCCTTCGGCTGCAAGAAAAGAGCCATGATATCACTACCAAAGGGGGTCCGCACCAGCACCTGGAAGGGAGATGTGGTGCCTGGGGCCCCACAGGCACAGCATGCCCAGGCTGAGAAAAGTGTGAGGGTGATCCTCAAGTTCCTGACTTGCTCTGTCTGCTTGGCATAGATCGGTCCCCTGGTCACGTTCCTCTAGACGAGTGGGGCCCTGGAGGCCCACCTAAGGGAGGTTCTATAGAGTGGCCTGGGAGAAACCACAGTGGTAACATCAGAGACCATCTGCATGCAAGAGGCTTGTTCTCCAAGTGTCTGCAAGCCTGTGGCCCTCTCACAAATATGGGCTCTGCAACGCGCAGGTCTGAGCCAGGCCAGCCAGGTAGGATCAGCCCTCTGTGCTTTCTAGACACGGTTGCTAGCACACATAGACGTAATGCCTGCCCTAAGTGTAAGTGAGAACACACGGGTTGCCAAAATGGATCGCCTTTACCTATATGGGCCTTTTTTTTTTCTTCTTCATGGAAGTAGCTAATTTACCCAACGTGCTACAAAGATGCACCACAGACCACGTTGCTGGGGATTCTGTGGAAACTGCTCTTCATTATTCACAGGTTCTGGCTCAGTTTTCCCAGCTGAAGCCTCCCTCTCTGCCTGTGTGAAGCCTAGTGACCCCTTCTGTCCTTTGTCCCACCTCCTCTCACTCTTGGAGGTCTCTCCAAAGCACTGTACAGTTACTTTTTTCTACCTGCGAGGACCCGGCACGACGTGAAACAGCCAACTTCTGCTTTCTGTAACTGCCAACACGGACTGACGAGAACAAGAGACCACAGTTTTAGGAAGGCTGTGTTTTTCCACAGGACGAAAGCAGGTTGTGTTTCCTGAGGGTCCCTCGCTTCCTGTGATTCCTCACGTTAAGCCTTGTCAGCCCCTGTTCTACGGATGAGGAATCTAATCAACAGCAGGATGTCCCGCCTGGAGCCGGGGACCTGAGACTCAGTTCTGCCACTCGAAGCTCAGGCTGGCTGCACAGCACCACGCCGCACAGGGCAAGCTGTAGCAGGAATCTTAAAAGTTTTTATTAATAAAATCAAACCCGGGGCCAGTTATTGGGATGAAATGCTGGATGGTCAGAGAGACAGAACGAGCCACAGCTAACCTCACCTGGCCAACTTCTCAGCTGATCCTGTTTCCTCAGACTGGAAGCTTCTGAGTCCTCATCCCAGTGACTCTCAGCTGAACTATGCTGCTAGAAAACCTGAAAGCTTAACCAGGCCAAATGCTTCTAGTTCCTGGTCCTCATGCCTTATGTATCTTTCTGCTTTCTGTCATCACTCCCTGGGATTAAAGGCGTGAGTCACCAAGCTTGGCTGTATCCTTGAACACATGGATTTCTGCCTAGCTCTGCCTCCCAAGTGCTGGGATTAAAGGCGTGTGCTACCACTGCCTATCCTCTATGTTTAATATTGTGGCTGTTCTGTCTCTGACCCCAGATAAGTTTATTAGGGTGCACAATATTTCGGGGAACACAATACCACCACGGCAAGCTCTGGTTTCCTAGTCTGCAGTAGATGTGGATAGTTTCCCTGTACAGAAATGTGAATGTTGAATGACGTTCAAGTGAAGATGGTTTATGCAAAAGGCGGGGTGTGCTTAGAATAAGAATCTTGGGTCGCTACTGTCATGTCTTTTTTTTTCTTCACAAAAAGTTGGTTTTCTAAGCTAACAGTACTCTTATTATGAAGCTATTTCTGAATGATCTAGGTATTGAGGTTTTATTTTCATGTGTCTTTATAAGTCTCAGTCACATGTACAGGTGAGTGTGGAAGTCAGAAGAGGACATTGGAGCCTCTGGAGGTGGCTGTGAGCGGCCTGACATGCTGCTGGGAACTGAACTATAGTCCCCTACAAGAACAGTCATGCTTCTAATCCCTAAAGTCTCTCTAGATGGTTTTGAGTTCAGATTTGGGGAAGGCATTTGACTTTATAGCATTACCAAAGAATTACAGCTATAGTCCCTTCCTTGAGAATTCAAGGAAGAACTTGAGGACACATGCCTTTGACTGAGGAGTACCTCCACATGAAGGTTTACATAGGCACTCTTTATGTATATTTATAGGACGGCAGTTATATTGATTTATTGAATTGAATTGCAAAATTATGCAAGTCTACATAAGAACTCACCAAAAGGAATAATATAGCCTAACTGTAGTACAGGGATGAATCTAAAGTTCTATTGATTATATGCTAAGAGTGTGTTATTCGTAGGTCAGATCCAATTATAACAAAGTGTTTGGAAATTATAGTAGCTTGCTTGTTTCAAGTAATAATCTCAGATGAGAGCGTATTACAGGCTGCCCTTTTTTCCCACAGAAAGCTGTACTTAATTTCTTTTTATATTTATGTCAACAAGTAAGTTATGATGTATACACATTGCTCATATAAGATTCACACAGAAGCCATCTGCTCCTGGGAAATGCCTGTAGTGACCCAGCATGGAACAGGTGGTCATCACTGAGCATTGCCATCCACTGGGCTGTGACTTCTGGGAACCATTGCCTGTGTCTCAACCAATCTTCCTAATGACCCTATCAAAGAGGGTCTCTGATTCTCATTCTTAGGCAGAAACACTGAGCAGATTATTCGGCCAAAGTCACATAGCTGGGATTTGAACCCAGACAGTGTATTTCCCGTGCCCTGTTCTGGGACCAGGCAGCGACTGTGGCGGGTGTTCCATGCTCCAGCCAGAGACAGGCTTTGTATCCATGAGATGTAACTATAGATACAAAACCGTGTGCTTTCATCCACTGTAATAACAAATAATGGTTGGCATGACAGAACCAGCTAGCAGCACATAAACCCAAACACTAAATGCCACATTAGTATGCAGGCCTGAGTCGCTGAATAATTTAAGCCAGCCCGGCTTCCTGCCGAGCAGGCTCCGCTCGGGTTAGAGTGCGGAGGCCTGAAAATGGTACTGTTGAGTTTGTTCTGTTATAGTCTCTGCCTGGCGCCTGCTGTTTCTACTGACTTTCTAGACCAAAGTACAGGGTAGGGGAAATTAGACCAGATGTCAGATGCTGGAGAGCAAGAGGCAGCCCAGGAAATTAGTACAGGGGTACTAGCAAATGCAATGTCGTGCAAATGGGGGTGAGAGCTTTCTAAGTCTCAACACAATCCAAACCCTACATTTTACAGAGTTCAAAGCAGTCTGTCTCAAAACAGAACCCAAACAATGCATGAAAGCAGCCCTTCTTTTTAGACGGTGAGACACTCCACTGAAACCAGGCTGGCATAGCGCAGGTTGCTAGGGGCAGTGCCTACCATTCACCTTGTAGCAAGGTTTTCAGAGAGCTCTTTTGCTGTTTATGAAGTGGGGGGCATCTGGGCCAAACTGTGTTTCCAATACTTACAAGTAAAAAAAATGCTCAGGATAAAAGGGTAAAGGAGAAATGGTGGCATTTGCTGTGGTCTATTTGATCATAGGTGACTATAAACGTATCTCCACACTGTGGCACAGGTGAGGTTCTCTTCAGTGCTTGAGGGGAACACATAAGGTTCAAGGTCACCCACCTAGCTAGTAAACAAGAGCTGTGCCTCATCTCTGGGGCTGGATATGTCCTGGCCAAGACAGCACGTGTCCCTTTCTGTGCCCAAGGACACGGATGATGTCAGGGTATGTGCCTTGCATGGCTGTCTGTTCTTGGGTTTAGAAATTATCACAACAATTGAATGCTGATTGTGTTCAGATAATTGACTTTGCTATCATTTAGAAGGCTTTATAATCATCTGCCATTCTGAAACATTTTTTCAATATTTTAATGAAAGGATGCATCCAGTCAGGATCCTCCCATAGTTGCAGAAATTTGGTTAATTAGTCGCAGTCATTAAGGAAGACTTTGAGGGTGCTGGAACCAGGGGATCCACAATGCAGTGATGACTGTGTCCAGGTCTCAGCTCTGCTCTCTAGACTCTGACCATCATTCTCATAAAAGCTCTCTCCACCTGGAGGCTGAAATTACCCCCAGAATCCCATATTCCTTCAGCTAGCCACTCCAGAGAAAAGAAACTGCTTCCCAGACAGCTCTAGCCTGAGGCCTGGATGTCCCAATGGACCAACTTGAACCACAAGTAAATTGCAGGTGCATGTAACCCTGACCCCAGGGTGGCTCTGGGTGGGAAAGAGAGAGCCTGGGAGATTGACAGAGACAAGTGGAAAACACGCTGTCAATTCCAAGTAAGAAGTATTCTGGGAGACGTATTAACACTGCTCTGGAGGACCCTTTGTGTGTCTGCTCCTTGAAGAGTGTACACAGGCTTACAGGATGTATTCAAAAGTCCAAGTTTCTGAGAAAAAAAACTGCATAAATAAATGAGCCCTGTATAAGCTGGACATTCTAGAACTAATTTTTCAAAC